AGGGAGCTCAGAGGTTCTGAGTGGAGTCCCCAAAGGTTCCAGCGGGAACATTCAAGGGCCTGGGTGGCTGTGACCAGAGATCATAGACGACTTTCTGGAGAGGAGGGGAAACAATTTTTTAGCAGAGTGTATTCCTAAGGCCAGAGTCAAAGTTGGCAGCCACCGGGGAGCCCCAAGCCCTTTGCAGGAGCACTCCGGGGACAGCCTCCTCTTCGTGTGCCCAGAGCAGCGCTGGGGCTTGCAAGACGTCCCGCCCCGCCCGCCCCGCGCCTCCAGGGCTCACTAGCTCTGCCCGGGCCACCCGTCCGGCCGGCAGAGCCACCCTGGCCACGCCTCGCCCACAGCGTCCTGCCAACCTGGCTAAAAACAGGAGCTACACAGACCCGCTGGCCTCTGGTCCGTGGGAACGAGCCTCCCGCTGGGCCTAAACAGAGCGCCTGGGAAAACATGCCTTAGAGGGTCCGCAGGCCCTGACATGTGGCTCTGGGCTGCTTCCAAGTTTGGGGGTCGGCAACTTTACAGACTCTCTGTGCTGACCCTTCCGCCCCTGCTGGACTGGGGCATCTGGGGGCTCTGGCCCAGGTCGCACACTGGGGCTGCCAGGCAGAGGCGGGGACCCAGCCTGGGCCCCCACGTGGGCTCTGCCGCCCACAAGGCCCCCACATGTGCTTTAATGCTCTGAGGTTGCCATCTTCAAGTCTTGATACAGTTTGAACAAGGGGCGCCCTGTTTCATTTTGCTGTGAGCCCCTAATTCTGAAGCCAGTCCTGGGAGAGGGGCCCTGGGCCCCACAGGTGGGCCCCATCCCGCCGAGTTCCCCAGAACGCGTGGAAGGGCTCTGGCCCCGGGCGGCATCGGGAACCACACATCCCCCGCCCGCATCCTTGGGCCCACGCCGGGGACCAGGCCCCCACGATCCTGCCTGTGTTCACAGTTGCAAAGCTGTGTTCACGGGGGCGCGAGCATGCGTGCATGCTGATGTGTGCAACCTCTAGTCATGCTCACACATGCGCTTCCTGCTCTGTGAGTGGCTGAGGACACCTCAGAATGCCACCTCGGCACCCCTACGCTAATGAGGAAGCAGGGGGGCAATGAAAAGCTAGGCCGGGGGGGTCGGGGACAGAGGGAGAGCCCCTGCCTCCCCCTCGGCTCCCCCAGTCTCCCAGGAAAGGAGGCATGGCTTCTGTCACCCGGATCCCACTTAATCCTCAGGCAGACCCCTTCAGAGCCCTCTACACCCCAATCCCACTGGAGTCCCCGGCGTGGGGTTTGTATCACATCCATTATAAGGATGGCAAAACTGAGGCTCCAAGAAGCCAAGCTGCTCCTGCAGCCATGGCAGGCAGCCTCGGAAGCCCCGTGCCCCACGGCGGCTCCCGAGGCGGGACCAGCCTTCCGGGCCCATCTCCCCCCCGCCCGTGGGGCTACCCCTCGCTCCCCGGTTCCCCACCACACGGTGCGCGCCCCCTGCCGGGTGCTGCCGCCTCTGCCTCGCAGGGCTGAGGGCCTCCCACGCAAGCCAGGGCTCACCGCCCTCCTCTGCAGGCTCAGGTCAGGGGTGGCCGGTCACTGCCCAGCACACCTCGGTTTTCTCTAGAGCCCCCGGCCGCCCCCCGACCAGCCTTTCCTTTGACGCCCCAGGCCAGGCCCCAGGAAGGAGCTGCCAGTGCAGCTGGTGACCCAGAGGCAATGCCAAGCAGTGGGCCCCCCGGGGGCGTGGGAGCAGGCGTGGCTGTGCTGCGGGCACTTTGGGGAGGGGCGGCTCATGCCTTCGGCCTAGTTGGGGTTCCCGGGGCTGGAGGTCCAGGAAGCCCTCTCTGCCTCGCCTTCTGTCATGTTCTAAATGGAGCCCGCTAAATGTTCCGCATGGAACCTTCCAAAGGTTCTACATGGAGGCTCCCCTCCCCTGGGGCTGCTCGGCCGTCCACGGAGGCTTCTTGGGGCGGGCTGTCCTCAGAGCCTGGGGACACACTTTGCCCGGTGAGTGGCTCGGTGTTCAGGACAACGCAGGAGGAGCCGGCACGCGACCCGCGGCGTCTGAGCCCGTGCGAGCCCAGCTGCCCAGGCCTTATTTGGTAAGAGCCCGAGCTGGCCCAGCCACTCGCTGCGAGCCGATGGGACTCCAGGAGGCCCTGCGTGGGTCAAGCACCCGCTGGCCCGGCAGCCCGCTCCCACCCGCCTGGCCTCCTCACGGGCCTGCGGCCGGACAGCGGCAGATTTGGCGGCGGGAGATCCCAGGGTCAGGCCGAGACGGTGGCGGTCTCCTCGGAGCCCACCCCGGGGTGGGTGAGGGATTCCCCGGCTTTTGCCTATATAAGGCCGAGGAGAGGTGGCGGCGCTCGGACGGGCTCGAGGTATTGTTTTAAGAGGGTGTTTGGCATCGAGCAGTGATTCTTGGATTCTCATAAAACCCTGGCAGGGAAATTGTTTGACAGCCTTGACAATGTGCTGGAGGCGGCGCAGGAGCCCGCCCCTGGGGGCTGCGGGCATGTGCCCTGTCAGCTGCCTGCTGGCCCGGGAGCTCTGGCAGCCAGGCGCCTCCTGGCCGGGCACCGGGCAACCTCGCTAGGGAGGCGGCAGAGGCCCGCGGCTGCCGCATTCAGGGTGACCCGGAGGGACGGCTGCTTCCGAGCCCCAGTTTCCTGGTTTGAGTGTGTGTGCGCAGTGGTCCCAGCACACACGGGGGTCCCGAGGGCCTCAGGGAATGGGCGTGGAGGGTGCAGAGGGGTCACCGTCAGCCAAGATGCAAGCCCGAGTCCTGCTCTGTGCGGCCATGCCATCTCTGTCGCGTCTCCCGCGGCTCGCGACACAGAGGCGGCAGATGTGCCTCCCACCCTGCTGACAACAGATGCGGAGACTGAGGCCGAGACAGGGAGAACGTTCACGGCCCTGGGCTCCTTCTCCAGCGGGGGCCTCCGCAGGCCGGCCAGCGTTCAGCCGCTGCCCAGCTCGTCCTCGGCTCTGCTCTGGGCCAGGCCTCCTCCCCGGCCCCGGAACAGCCAAAGAGAATGAACCAGCTAAGAAATGGCCTGCCCCAAGGAGACAAACACGCCTTCAAATTCGGTGGACAGGGAAGTCCTCTCTGTGCAGAAGACTTTTAAACTAAGGCCTGAAGATGAGAAGAAGGCTGTCCCAGGAAAGAGGGACGCAGCGCTGCAGGCAGAGGAAACAGCCCATGCAAAAGGCCCCAGGGCAGGGAGAGGCCTGTCTGGGTCCAGGCCGGCCTGGACGCCAGCGTGGCTGGAGCAGAGTGAGCAGAGGGGAGAGACGAAGCAGCCGGAGACCACGGAGCAGACGACAGGCGCTTCGAGGGCCCACGGGGGATGGGTCAGGGTTCATGCTACAGGTGGTGGGAAGCTGGGTTTCGAGGGCAGACCTGGCACTACATGTAGTTCTACGTGCTCTGCGACATCAGACGCATCTGCTCTGCCAGGCGCCGCACGCTTGCTTTCTCACCTGATTCTCCAGCATCCCTGCGTGGGGAGTGAAATCTTATCCCCATTTCACAGACGAGGAAGCCGGAGCTCCGAGAGCTGAAAGGCCTTGCTTGGCTCACTACTATGGGGCAGGACAGGGGTTCCTTGCTCAGCGCTGCCTGAGGTCACAGCCAGGCCAGGCACAGGGCTGCTGGGGAGCGGCTCCGTGTCCTTGGAGCGGCCGGCCCTGACCCCGTTCCCCTGCTATCCCGCCCACACGGCCTCCTGCAGGGTGGGATGACCATCTTGCCCTGTTGTGCCCGGGACATTCCTGGTTTTAGCACTGAAAGCCCTGCTTCCCAGGAGAGCCCTCTGTTCTGGGCAGACCAGGGCCGCCGGTCGCTCGTGCTCCAGGAACTGAGAGAGGGGGGAGTGGACAGCCAGGTGCTCTTGCTAAAGCCGCCCTCCTGCATACCTGGCCGCACGCCCACCTCTACCCAGGCTGGGAAGGAACCATGGAGAGAAAAGCAAATAGCAACTTGTGCACGGCCCACCCGGCCTCCCTCTGCGTGGGGGCACAGCCACCTGCCCCAGCTCAGCCAGCAGCAGTGGGACAAAGGGAGGGCGGGGCGCTGCCTGCCGGGGGAGCAAACCGCGGGCGCTGACCCGGGAACGGCCCAGCGGGCAGGGCGGGGCCCCAGGTGGAGACTCCACGCTGCACAGCCGCCTTTGAAGCCCGGGGCTCTGTGGCCGAGAGCATCTCTGGGCCTCAGTTGCCCACCTATAAGATGCACAGAACAACAGCCAGCGATAGCCAAGGGTTTGCTGCATGCCGGGCTCTGTGCTCTTAGAGACGGGGAGCAGGGGCCCCAAGAAGGGGAGCCACTGTTCACTGAGAGCCGGTAGCGCCTCAACACTTACACCAGCCCCAGACCTGCCTCTGAGATGTGTCCCTGCCCGTCCCCGTCTCAGGAGGGGGATCCTCCTGGGCCCCGAGCATCTCCAGAACGTCAGGACCCCCCTGAAGCCCCAGGTGCCCAGAGCTGTCCTTGATCCTCCCAATGCCCCGGCCGTGAGGCCACCAGCACGGCTGCCCGGAGGGGGACATGGGGTTTGGGCATCGGTTCAGCTGCTCGACTCCCATCCAGGCAGCGTGAAGGCTGTTGGCGCTGTTCCTTGGGCTTGTCCACGTCCAGATCGGCTCCACTGGCAGCCCTCCAGGGACAGTGGCCCTCCTGGTTCCAGACTCACAGGCCAGGGCATGCCCGCCGGATGGCAGGCTTGCATACGCCACCAGGAAGAAGCAGAGCGAAGCCCTTTTGTGTCTTCAGGTTGCATCCTGGTGACAGAATGCCCCGCCCCCAAAGCCGCACGTCGCCTCTTCTGCCTCCATGTCAGAGTGATAGCATGGATGGGGCGGCCCCTGAGTTTCGGGGGGCAGCCTGGGCTCAGACCTCAGACCTGCCACTCACCACCTGCGGGCCTCGCGGAGCGGCTGTAAGAACTGAAGCGCTGATACGTCTTCGGAACCTTGAATTGTGTGAGCGCCCCGCAAAGCGCCTTGGTTTTGTAGTTTTCTTGTTTTGTTTTGTCCACCTCCCACTTTCAAATAGCGCCACTATAGATGTTTCTGCCCCTGAAGACAAGAGCGAGAGCATTTCGTCAGAAGACATGCTGCTGGGGCAGAGGGTGTGTGTGGTTTCACAGCTCTTACTTCATTCAGATGGATCTTCAAAGCCTGCATCCGGTTTGCCATTTTCCCCACACCCTTGCCAGCGCCAGGCTTTATCATTTTATAATAGTTATTTAACTTAATCAGCATGTAATAAATAGGGCTTTTGTTTGCCTCTCTTTTTCTGCCTACAAGGCTGGGCGTTCTTCCGTGTGCCAGTGAACTGTCTGCGCAGCTCCTCAGGATCCATGGTTTGCTCACCTTCTTTGAAGGCTTCTCCAGCGGCACCTGTCTCGGTCCCCTGGCGGGTCCGTGCTGGGCGCCTCTTCTGAGCAGGAAGGGGAGATGGGAGAGGTTGCAGCTGGGAAGGCAATGAAAGCCACCAACCCCACCCACCCCACCTGCCTTCCACTCACCTGAGAGTGTCCAGAGCATCCCCAGCTGAGGACACCCTTTCCTGGGGCCAGGAGAGGCCCTGAGGCTGGGGGAGGAAGGAAAGAGGAGCCAGTAGAAATGACCGAATTTTTGGAGCAGCAAGCCAGCCAGTGAGGCACCAGCAAACCGCGCCCCCTGCGCACCCTCTTGTCTCCCTGCCGACCCTGTACATCTCGGTGGCCGGCAGAGGGGCGCCTCTGTCTACGCTTCACTCCCCCGCCCCTCTGTCCATCTCCCTGATTTAGGGTCCCCCTCGCTTTTTCTTAAATGATGCTGTTTTTGTTTTTGTTCATTGATGTGTTTATTTCCTTCTCAGCTCCATGGGGCAGGGCACTGGTCCATTCTGTCCGCCCTTGTCCCCCAGAGTCTGGACCAGAGCCTGGTGCCTGGAAGCCACTCAGGACACCCGAGGCCGATGAATGAACCAACGAGATGGGGCGGGGGAGCTTCTCTCGGTCCAGAGAAGCGGCTCTTGTCCACCCACGTGGATGCCGAGGTGAGGGCCCCGCCAGGGAAACCGGAGGAGGCCCCTTCCTAGCCTCGGGCCCGAGCACCCCCATACCCATGGCGGAGGCTCTGGCCCAGGAAGCAGCGTAGAAACCCCTCCGCAGGGCCGGAAGTGGCCCAGACCCAGCTGGAGGGCGAGGCTGGGGTCTAATTATAGAAGGCAGTGTGTGAGAGGGCTGGCCCTGCCTCTCTGGGGTGAGAGGAAGTGGGCACAAGCTCGGATTAACACCCAGCGGGTTCACTGTGCGTTGAGACAGTACCCCGCCCGCCCCCTCGCCCCCTGCCAAGGAAATGCAGGGAAATGAATTCAGCTGCCGGGGAGGGGGCCCGGACGAGACAGGGGACGCCAGCTCCCAGCTGGGGGGAATGCCCAGAACCTGGTTCTGTGCCTACATTTCAAAAGAAAGGTGTCTGGTCCAGGTTCAAAGTGGGTGTTGCGTGTAGTTTCACGCAAGTTGGCAGGCTTCAGGCCTGTTTCCCCACATGCAGAACGGGCGGATGAGAACCGTGCGTTCCTCAAAGAGGCACTGAGGCCCGGGGCAGCCCGGCACAAGGCCCGGGCCCGGGAGGCGCTCCGTGCTGTCAGGACGGCGGTGTGGGGGGTGGGGGCAGCGGGCAGTCAAAATGAAAATGTGGGCCCCTTGGTCAAGAGTTACTAAGAATTTCAAGACACAGACAGCTGAGCGCTACGCCTGGCGCGGGGCCCTTCTGAGCCCCGTGTGGCCATCGCAGCGCCGCTCACGGAAGGGAGCCACCCACGCAAGTTGTTTAAATGGGGACACAACGGAGGGACAACCGGGGCAGGGGCTGCAGCCCCCGCTCCCTCGCCCCCTGCGTTGGTTCTGAGTGGAAAGCACCGCTGAATTTCGGTGTATCCGTGACATTTTATTCCTTAAAGAACAATGAGAAGATCAGCGACAAATGTTCATGTGCCATCCTGGGCTGTGTTCAATTCTGGGTAGTAGCACTAAGGGGTTCCTTGATTCTCTGACGTTTTCTGTATATTTTCCTTTTTAAAAAGAAGGTTTCCGTGCTTTGAGAAGCTTGCACGCATGGCGTTAGGAAGGGCTTTTCGTGGCTGGCCTGGGCTGTGAGTCAGGGGCCGCGGGGATGCACAGTGTTAACGAAGTACCTGCTCTGTGCCTGGCGCGGGGCTGGCTTCCAGGGAAAGGAAAACAGGCATTTTTCCCTCCAGCAAGAGGGACCGAAAACGGGCCTGTGCCCCCAGTGTGCTGGGACCCACAGGAAGTGTCCCCAGCGCTGGTGCGGGGCGACTGCTTTGCCATTTTCACGGGAACACAGGACCTCGGGTGGTTTTCCCCTCCTGCAGGAGGGTGCCCCGAGCCTCGCCAGAGTCGGCTGCCAGTGCCGGGGGCTGCCATGTCGGGTGGCAGTGCCTCTGACTCGGGTAGAGTCATAGGTAGAGGGGAGTCGCGGGCTTGCCCCAGCCACCACTGAGCCTCTTAGGTGAACAGTGGGAGGCGTCACCTTGAGTTTTCAGCAGCTCCTGCCGGCAGGCCTGGGGCGGGGACGTGGGGTCGGGGGCGTGGGGTCAGGGGGCAGTGCAGTACCCGGAGCTCCCGCCTGCTTGCGGCGCGGTGGCGGCAGCGGCAGCCCCTTTAGCGGTGATGGGGACGATGACACCACGCAGTGCTGTCCTCGCATCATGTCTCCCTGTCCGTTTACCTTTTCCTTCTGAAATAATTTTAGATATACAGAAAAAGTGCAAATGTAGGATGAGTTTCCATGCCCCTCACTCAGCTTCGCCAGCTGTCAGCATCTTACCTACTGGTACTGTTAGCAGAGCTAAGAAATTTGCTTCGATGCAATACCGCCAGCTAAACCACAGGCTTCACTCGAATGCCCTCCCTTGTGTCCTTATTCTGTTCCGGGACCCACGTGGCACTTGGTCATCTTGTCCCCTTAGCCCCCTGCAGCCTGGGGAGGTCCCTCATTCCTTCCTGTTCCTGGTCCTGCCGTCTGCGAGTATCAGCCAGGTCTTTTGGAGATTGCAGTCAGTTTGGGTTTGTGTGGTGGCCTTTCATGTTTTAAAATGCCAACTTCCGCAGTGTAAGATTCCGTGTCTCTGAGCAGACGCACAGGGCTGGGCCGCTGTCTCCACGACCTAATTCCAGATGTTTCCGTCACCCCAGAAGGAAGCCCCTGCCTTTGTCCCCGTGTCATTTGCCCTCACGATTCTCCCTCCTGCTTCCTCTGGCTCTGTCCTCATCTCTCTCTCTCTCTCTGGGACTCCAGTTCTGTTTTTCTTTTTTCTTTCAGTTTCTCTTTGTGTCTCTGCCTCCAAGCCCCGGTTTCTCTCTCTCTCTCTCACATTCTTTTTCAGTCCTGCGTCTCTGCCTGCCCCTTCCCCTCTCTCCGGCTCTCTCCTTCCATTTTCTCCCTTCTCGTTCTGTTTTGCTCCATGTCTGTGTGTGCATCTGTTTCCCTTTTTTGTTCTTAAGGGGGCGCAGGCGTATCCCAAGAAAACAGAAAACGGCCAGGCACGCTCTGTGCTCAGAGGCAGACGGGGTGGGGGCGCAATCCCTGTGGGCTCCAGCTAACAGGGCAGCCACGAGACACCCCTAAGGAGGGGATGATGACAGCAGACTCACAGGGAAAACAGCAGCCTGCCCTAGAAGAGCCGCTGGGAGATGTCCGGGCAAGAGGGCTGGAAGGAATTCCCAGAAGCCCAGCCAGGGAGCGATGGGCAGTGAAGACAGAGGTCTCCCTACGTGCAGGGCTCACTTAGCGGGAGCCTCAATTGCCTCCCCAGGCCCAGCTCTCCAGCTCACAGGCAGACGGCCCGGCCAGCTCAGGACAAGGCCGAACCTCAGAGAAATTTCCAGCACCCCCACGGGGGCCCAGGTCACATGCTCAGCACTGGGACTCTGAGCTAGATGTGACCCCCCTCTGCCTCGGAAGGATCCTGCAGTGGAGCAGCACAACCAGGCTCACAAAAAGGGCGTGTGTTGATGGACTCAGTTATTTGCCCCAGAAACGCAGAGCACCTGCTGCGTGCCGGAACCCCAGATGGGGGCGGGCCGTGCCCTGGCCTCGCGGGGCTCAGAGTCTAGGCGGAGAGGCAGCCCACCCCTGCACCCCAAGGGGGCGACCTATGTTCACAGCAGAATGGCACGGGGTCCAGGGCCACCTCTGCCAGCTGTTAGCTGCGTGGCCTTCAGCGTGCCCCTCACCCTCGCCGGGCCTCCGTTCTCGCCTCTGCACCGCGGGCCGAGGGCCACGTGAAAGAGTGTCAGTACTGAGCCCCCCACCCCATCGACCGAGTGGAGTTTATTGGCCACGTCATTATTGTCCTTCCAGGCTGGCGGGGAGGGGGGTCCCAAGCAGGCTGGGGCCCTGCCAGGCAGTGACCCCCAGGAGTGCAGGTTGGGCAGCTGGGGGAGGGGCAGCTTGTGCAACAGCTGAATACTGGCTGGTGTCCTTAAGTCACCCAAGGGCAGCAGCAGGCTTGCTGGCGGAGTCCAACAGCCTGACCCAGCCTCATTTGTGATGCAAATAGCTGGCGGTGGCTGCCAGCCAGGGCCCAGGGTCCTTGTCCAGGGCTCTGGGCTTTTCTTCTGAGAGAGCAGAGCCTGGGGAGAGACGGAGGGGGGATCCTCCGGCCTGCCCCCTTGCAACAGGGCTTCTGTGGCCGTTTGCCAAGTCCAGATGCAGCGTGACCCAAATGGGCCTCAGCTTGGGGTGGCAGAAATCCAGGAGCCTGCAGGGCTGCCATCCTCGCTGGAGGCTGCGGGGAGACTCCGCGTCTGTGCTCATTCAGGGTGCGGGCGGAGTTCAGTTCCTGGCGGTTGTAGGACTGCGGTCTCCATCCCCCGCTGACGGACACCAGGGGGCGGGCCTTTGCTCCCAGAGGCCGCCCACACTCCACCCTCTGGGGTTTTCCACCGGCCCGATGAGCAACAGCGGGTCAGGTGCCTCTCAGCCTCTGAACCTCTCCACCTTCCCGCTCTGCGGCCTGTCTTCAGCGTTGAAGGGCTCATGGGATTAAACCGAGCCCACCTGGGTAATCCAGCCTCCACTCCCTAAACTAAGGTCCCCGCTGCCGTCGAAGTCCCTTCAGCCCTGTCACTTCACTTGTTACGTGTTCACAAGGTCCAAAGGTTACTGGGCTCTGACTTGCACTTTCTGTCATTTGCAAAGGAAAGACTCTTGAAGGATCTGTCCTCCGGGACACTGGTTGGTCGGACACGGTGGCCTCACGCAGCTCAAAATCACTGGCTTCACAGGGGACCTGCCTCGTTCTCCGTTCTGGGGGTGAAGCACTGAGGGGGGCGGCCCCAGGAATGTGACCAAGAGCCTCCAGGAAACTCCCGCCCAGCCCCCTAGGACTGGCTCCTGCCCCAGGGCCGAGCTTCCAAGCGTGTGCACCAGCCAACAGGGAAGCATGCTTTGCCGGGACACAGAGTAAATACACTGGTATTTATACCAGAGCCCCCTGGGGTGACCACTTGGCTCTGAGGCGAACATGGTCAAAATTGAATTCTGCGGCCCTTGGAGGAGGGCCAGGCTGCCCAAAAG